TTCATCAAACTTTTCGACCTTATCTGAGGGACAGGCGGCCAAGGTATCAATCCTAGTTTGTTGAGACAAACTACTTCAAATTAAATAAATCTTCTTTCGCACCCATATTATTTGCGTCGTGATCTCTGCGCCAGCGTCAATGCGTTCCACCACACTTCTTACGAATGACACGGTCGCTGAATATCCACTCGTCGTTATTTGTGATTGCCAGTATCCGGTCCCGACGTGATGCCACGTCCCGAATAAGGCTTCACAAAAAGCCCCTTGTGGTTTGCTCGAGTCCAGAGCTGTCGGCTGGTCGCGCTGGCTCAAGGTGACCAAACAAGGTTATGCATTGCTACTGTACGCTCGGACAAGGTGCAGTATTGCATGTGAGCACAATTGCTTTGGGTCGTGCCGTCACAAAGGCGTCACGGCTCATGTGGAGATCTGTCCGGTTTTCTTCGCGCTGGCGACGACCCCATATGCTATGCTGTCCTCATTCTTGGTTGAAGACGCTGCTTGCAACGCTGGGGATCGGCAGAGCAGCCGTTCATAATGGATGATGCCACTTTATAGAGCGATCCAAATGCCATTTTTAAGAAATCACGGATTTTGAAACTTATTAGGCCAGAAGTTTATTCGTTTTGACTAAACGACCGCTCTCAGTTGACATTGCAAGTATTGCTGTCATCTTGGTCACGAGGGACGACATTAGGCACTGGAGACAGTCAATGTCGATATAATGCATTGTGGGACAAGTAGGTAACTTGAAGCTCTCATAACAAACAAGAGCATGAAAATAATTCAGACCGTTAGAATTGCCATTTTTTTAGCGCAAGCGGCTTTAGATGTGGCTCCCGATCCTCAAATCCCCACAATCGGCATGCAAAGTCCGTGAGTAACGATTGTTGAAGCCTTACCGACGGACACCAAAAGGCTAAAATTCAACATATGGGAACGTTGCATTGTGCCAGATGCCCTGAAGGTCTCTCCCGACTTCGTCCTGGTGGTCCTGAGCTGTGCACTGGGCCTTAGAAATCCCTCATTCATCAATTTGCTTGCAAAGGTCTAACCAGAGCGTGCAAATATGCTTGGCGCCAAGCTTCTCATCCTCGCCGTCGGTGTCCTAGCCGCTGTCACGGAGGCCGCGGGTACCTGTCCGTCCATCGAAAACAACGTCGACTACAGCGGTGCTGACGTTGGCAGCGCTCGCAGTTCTTCGGCCAACGGATGCTGCTCGATTTGTTCCAGCACGAACGGATGTGGCGCATTCACGTGGACGAACTACAACGGCGGTACTTGTTGGTTGAAGCAGTCCAAGGGCACGGCTAAGTCCAGCAACGGTGCTGTGTCGGCTGTCCTGCAGACATCTTCGGCTTCGGGAACTTGCCAGACTATTGAAAACAACGTCGACTACAGCGGTGCTGACGTTGGCAGCGCTGCCAGTTCTTCGGCCAACGGATGCTGCTCGATCTGTTCCAAGACGAACGGATGTGGCGCATTCACGTGGACGAACTACAACGGCGGTACCTGTTGGCTCAAGAAGTCTAAGGGCACGGCTAAGGCCAGCAGCGGTGCTGTGTCCGGCGTTGTCCAGGCGTCGTCGACGTCCTCGTCCGCCACCTGTCCGTCTCTGGAGAACAACGTCGACTACAGTGGCTCTGACGTCGGCAGCGCTCGCAGCTCGTCGGCCAGCGGGTGCTGCAATATCTGCTCCAACAACAACGCCTGTGGTGCCTTTACATGGACCAACTACAACGGCGGTACCTGTTGGCTGAAGAGCTCCAAGGGCACTGGCAAGGCCAGTCCTGGTTCCATCTCCAGTACCGTGCAGAAGTCCACCCAGCCGTCGACTCCCACGTCGCCTTCGTCCGTCGACCCGGCCAACGCTCAGTACTCGCTGTCGGCCTTCGCTATTGGTGACTGGGGTACTACCACGTACAAGGGCTCGTGCTGCTCGCGTTCCAACACGTTCAACAACTACGATATTAACGCCGAAGATGTCGTGGCCAG